AACAAACTGAAGCTGAGACAACACAGCTTGGGTGTAAGGTGGGCCACGCTCTGCCACTGCTGGAACATCGCTGAAGTCCCCTGTCACTGAAACAAAGTCCACCGACTCTGCGGGTCGGATAAACTGGCTTCACAAGCTGGATCTGGCACACAGGGCAGAGGTTGCAAACTTCTGAATTAGATGAATGTTTCCTCCTGCACAAGTGCATCCTGCAAATGCTCTCCACCCTCCAACCCCCTCAAAAATACACCTATTAGATGCAAGTGGGAACACAATAGACACCCTTCTCCTGGATTCAGCAGAACAGCTTTAGTCAGGCTCCCTGCACCCTGGGCCCAGCAGGCACCTCGTGATCTTCAGCCTCCAGATATTCGGGAATTCAAATCAGCTTGCTAAGGTGCTGACTCAGGGGTGCAGGAGAGGATAATTCACCTGGCAAGCACCAAGCAGCAGTGCTGGTCTCCTGTCCTGATGACAAATATTTAAGACTGTCCTCATGCCCTGCAGCAAACAAATGCGTAGACAGCAAGCAAAGGGGAAAAAAAAACAACCACAAAATCAAAACCAGCCCACTGCAGCAAGGAATCAACCCCCTCAGCAAAAATGTGCTTTGCCTCCCACTGTTCCTTTAATAAGTGCCGGTAAAAGGACAGCATTTTGCTTGATCAGGTGTCTTTGTCTCCTCTCAGCTGCATAAATAGGAAATCGATGATCAAGAGCTAACAAGACGCAGGTAGAGGTTAATGCGGTAGAGTCCTTCTCCACTTTGGTGCGCTCCAAGGGCTGGATGTAAAGGATACCCACAACCTGGTTGATGCTGAGAAGTTAATTGCATATTAAGGTGACTGTGAAACGAGCCTGGGGAAGAACAAGGCCCAAGGAAAAGAAAAGGCACAAGAGCATCGAGTCCCGTTGTACTAGGAGCTCTGACAAGCAAGCCCCCCCGACCCTGCATGCACTAGGTGGGCAGAGCTGGCGTGTGACCCAGTGTGGGTTGTTGGGGGCTCTGTGCCACGGCTGTGCTCTGGGTGTTGTCATCATCTAGATGGTTTCATTAATAAAATATAGTCTGTTGCCGGGCCTGAAACACCAAGTTACTGCAGCCAGGGAAGACATGCAGACGCCTGAGTCTGCTCTCTGGATGCCCGTGCATAATTCATGTTGCCATCCATTATAAGCAACCAGGGGCAAACGCAACCCTCGGATGGCGGAGGCTGTGACAAACACAGGCACAAAGCTCACTGCTGGTTCCTCGCAGTCCTGCTCTGGGTAGCTAACTACCGGCAGAGACGGTCCCCTGCTCTGCAGGCCTCCAAGGACAAATAGATAATACTGTCTGCTTGCAATGTAGCGCTGTTCGTGCCAAAGCAGTTTAGGGCAGGGGGGAATCAGCAGCATGATCCCCATCTAACAACTACATCAGAGGGAGGGAAGAGAGGCTTTCCAAAGGGACCAGAGTGCCTGAAGATGCCAACAGACGCCGAGGGAGGGTTTCTCAGGAGCCCAGGCTGCCTGTATTGCCAAAGGCATGACACTGGGAACAGAGAAGGCCTGGAGGCTAAAGGCTGGTTGATACGCTTGCCTGAGGGAGCGCCTGGGGCTGCGATGCCTCGCTCACTGGAGCGGGTGCCCCTGGATGGCAACGGGACGGCTCCAGAGCGGCTATGTGGGGACAGGGGCTGCGTTCGCCTGCCCAGGCACTGGCCTTACCCCAGCAGGATCCTCCAGGCAACACCTTTTTCACCCACGCAAACGGCACCCCCAGATCGCCCCGGCCCCCAGCTTTGCTTCTCCCTTCTCTGGCGGGGGCCACCTGGGCCTGGCTCCGGGCCACAGGGGATCGTATGAAGGTCTTAAGGGGCTGGCGCGCAACCAGCTACTTAGAAAGTGCCAGCCTAGGGGGCCTGATGCGGAGTCACCCCCGGGCCAATCTGGGGACCCCGACTCTGATCTGATCCGGAGTCGAGCCATGGCCAGCCCAGCCTGGGGACCCCGATCCGGAGTCAGGCGGGGCCCAGAGCCACAGCCACGCCGATCGGGGGACTCCGATCCTGAGCTGGAGTCACCCCGGGGTTCGAGCCACATCCACCTGGCCTGAGGCCCCTGATCTGGAGTGACTCCAGCCCAGCCCAGCCCCCCGCTCCCTGCGGGAATGGGTTTGGCCCCGGCCCGCAGCGCGGGTTACAGTCCCTGTCCCCCACCGCCGGCCGGGGCCCCAATCCGGAGTCACGCCGGGACCAGAGCCACCGCCACCCTGGCCGAGGCCCCGATCCGGCGTGACTCCAGGTTCAGCACCACGCCTGCCCCGATCCGGAGTGACTCCGCCCCGCGCCCGCCCCCGCAGAGCCCGGCCCCGCGGCCATGCTGGCCGCGCCGCTCCTGCTGCTCCGC